TTGCTCTTGTTCTTAGACATGTAGCTGAGGGATGGGCCATTAGGGATAGCAAAGGTGTAGCAGACCACACTCAGGTTTTTTTGTTTGTTTGTTTTTGTTTTAATAATTACAGATATGGCAAGTAAAAGTAGAAATGTCACCACCTGTCCTGTGCTCTTTTTAGCAGTCTAAAGAGAGTGGTGTTTGAATTCTGGCACTCATCATCCATTTTTTTTCCTCCTTAATATTTCAGTTTTTAGTTTGAGGTTTGTCTTACTATAATATAGAGTCACTAAAAATAGTTGAAACATCCTTTATGTATTTATCTTACATACTGTGGTTATTTATTTTTTATCTTATATTTTAAAACTTACCCATTTGATTGCCATTGTTTCTTTTTCTGTGTGTATGACTATGGGCATGGGTGTGCAAGTGCAGACACCAAAAGATGATGTCCAGTGTCCTATTCTGTCACTCTCTGCCTTGTCCCTTTAAAACAGGGTCTCTCAGTGAACCAGGAGCTCAGGAGCACACTTTGTCTTGACAAGCTGGTTGGCCAGTGAGTTCTGGTGAGCTGTCTGTCTCTGCCACCTTTAGCTTGGTGCTTACATGTGGACACGGCAACATCCAGCTCTTCTGTGGTTGCTGGGGATCAGAACTCAGGTCCTCATGCAGGGCCAGCAAGGGTTCTTAACCAGGAGCCATCTCCCTGACCCCATTTAGTTTTTAATTTATTACTTTTTTCTTTATTTTTATTTTATGTGTACTGTGTTTTGTGTGCATGTATATCTGTGCACCACATGCATGCAGTGCCCATGGAGGTCAGAAAAGGCCATTAGAAACTGGAGTTAAAAACAACTGTGAGCTGCCACGTGGTTGCTGGGAATTGAACCTGGGTCCTCTAGAAGAACAGCCAGTGCTGAGCCATCTGAGCTATCTCTCCAGCCCAGCCCACAAGGTCCCTCACTGGACTGACCAGGAGCTTTCCGATTTGGTTAGAGAACTAGTAGGTACAAAACTGCTTAATTTTATTTCCTATTATGTACCATTTTCCTAATTTGTCTGATTTTCATCATCGTGTTGATGATGACTGGGTAGTTGGGAATAGAGAGGAGGAAACTTTATTTCTACTCTCTTAGATTTGGTAGTTGGAGTCTTTAGATAATCTGACAAAGAGCAGAGTTTTAGGGGGAAAATCTTAAAAATGGTGTTGATACTATTATTTTTAGGGCCACCTGGTTTCTTTCTCTCTCACACACATCCACCCTCACACCCTCCCACCCTACCTCCCCACCCCACCCCACCCACCCATCCCCACACAAAGTGAAACTCCAAAGAATGCTTTGCCCCCAAATAAAAGGATTGCTTTCTACATCATTGGCAGTCAATGTGCCTGCTGTGAAGATGGAGTGACTACATGCAAGCAAAACACAATACACGTAAAATGAAAATAAAGGAGAAAAAAACTAAGCAATAAATAAAAAACTGAATGGAATCAGGCTCTTGGGTAAGAACCCTTACTGGCCCTGCATGAGGACCTGAGTTCTGATCTCCAGCAACCACAGAAGAGCTAGCTGGGTGTGCCCGTGCCTGCATGTAAGCGCCAAGCTAAAGAGAGCAGAGACAGAACTCACCAGAGCTCACTAGCCGACCAGCCTGATTTATTCACAGTCATAGCTAAGTGTGATAAAGTGTGAAATAGCAGGAACAGAGGCTTGGGCCTTTAGGGCTGGAAAACTGTAGAAGGTGTCTAGAAGTATCTAGAAGGAACTAGTGAAAGCTAACGGTTGTTTGGTAAAGTTTGGTCGTCTAGACTATCATGGGGCCATCTCTGTCTGCTAGTTATTGGACTTGAGTTCTTCCCTTTGGAACAGACTGGAGGGATTTATACCTTAGTTTTTGGTAGAAAGGGGAAAGAGAAACCTTTTCCTGAATCTGCATGCTTCTTAATGCCTTGAACTCAAAATAATCTTGGGGTCACAGTGGCATGTTTAAAGGTAGTATATATTTATCTTCTTTGTGAGTTTGTGGTTTTTTGAGATTAATCTGGCTGAAAATACTATGTAAAAACTTGTGCTTTATGTTGCATACAAGGTTGTATTTTCTGTATTGAATCTTAATTATAATTAATTATATTGTAAGTGTTTAAGAATTCTTTAAAAATTTAGGTTAAGAAGTATAGTTCCTGTGTTTGCTTTAGGATCTTATTTCATCCTAATACATGTTCTTGCTTTTTGGGCCAGGAAACAGTTTTCGAGGGATATTGGGGCTTGATATGCATACACTTTGACCTATCTGATGTGTCTCTTGCGGATTTGGATACCAAAAAAAGAGAAAGACTACTTTCTATATCATTCATATTCATGGTGCCTGATGGCTGACTCCATTAGTGAGAAGAGGCCAGAGCCTCTATTTGACATGGACCTTCCAAGGACAGCTGAGACATTGTCCTGACTAACTTAGAAGAGGAAGGAAGGGATTTAGGAGGGGTTTTAACCAATACTGACCATTGGATGTGTGAGTTCCTTTTTAATAGAGCAAGTGTTGGCCTACTTTAGTAGTTCCATCTTATTTTTAAACTTTCTCTCTGTGCTGTTGAGGAACATGTTTTAGGGTTTCTCGAGTCCTTAAGTTCCAAGAAATGAAATTTACTATTTGGCATGAATTGTTCTTGAGAATTGGACTGTGTTTAAAATGTTTTAAAGCCATGTTGGAGAAATAGAACAGAAATTCTCTGCACAGAGCTAGAAGAAAAAGGAAACAGTTTCATTATTGAGCAACATTAAGGTAGACTGGAGCGCATCAAGGCCAACTCTGAAGACAGGAAGAACGTTGATCTTTATGTACTTAAGTGGTGTCTATAAACCCAAACCCAGAAACTGGAAGCAAGGAGTCCTAAGAACTGATGCTGTGGTAGCTCAGAATCTGTAAGCAAGGCATGGGCAGTGGCGACTTCTATGAGCAAACTTCGTTTGTTACAAGGCAGACAACATTTTTTGTGTGTGTGTGTGTGTGTGTGTGTGTGTGTGTGTGTGAAACTTCTGTTGGAGTTGAGAACAGGTACTATATAACAGAACCTATGTGACCAATAGAAAAGGAAGAAGAGACTATATATATAAAGCCGTACTACGAGAAACAAGACTCTGGCTTCTTTCTGTATGTCTTATGTCTGGCACAGTATAGCTGATATCTGTTTTAGGTCCTGCGGTCAATGACTGGCCACAGGTTGAAGACCTTTCTTTAGAGATGAACTTTCTAGTATTCTGGCTTGATGATGAGAGGTCAGTTTTATAATTTGGAGTCAGGTGACAAATTAGGCCTATCTCTTCCCAGGAAACTAGTTGTTCTCTACCTTGTACTATTTCAGAGATGTCGTTTAGGCTCTTGAGGTAACTTCCTGTAGTTAGGGAACTAGAGGCTTAAGTTTCTGCACACTGAAGGGGAAGGATAAGAGAATGCTGAAAAACAAAGGAAAAGGGGTTTCTTCTTATTTCAGTATTTTTTTTTAAGGTGTAATTCTCTTTACCCCATGCCAGGTGATCATCTCAAGATGTCACTTGGGCTCCCCAGCTGGTGCCATTGTCTAGGCTAGCTTGCTGTAGGTGTTTAGATCCCCATAGCACCCCTGTTGCCGGGAACTTTTCAGGGTTAACAAGTTTGACTGAATGTCAATGCTGTAATGTTCATGCTGAGACCCCCTCTTGCTTACCAGGGGCTTTATGGAAGTTGTATATTAGGAGCTCAAGAGTAGGATGAGTGGGACATAAATTTATAAAGTTAGTAGTGACAGAATCTCTGAGATTCTGTTAGCTTACCTTGAAAATTCATACTAGGAATGGAAGAGCTGTCTGTCTCTAACTGTGCCCACTGCTGAGGTGGTTGCTAATGGGAGTTTTTGGTTTATTTTAAAACCTAGTATCATTTAGAGCTTATCTTAAAGACTTGTGAAAAAGAATTTTGGAGATTTGTAATATATTATCAGCAATTAAAATTAGATAGCAACTTAACTTTTTATTATCAACTTAAGTCACTATCCTGTACTTGCCAGATGGGCTTTCTGTGTGTATATAGATTGCCTAGTGATGATGTAACTAGAGAAACATAATCCTGTACTCGCTGACTTTTGGTTAGAGCATTGCTGGAAATAGGTAGGTCTGAAACATTATTTACCACCTTCTAGAGGCAGTAGGACCTGGGAGAATGGAGCCAATAAATGAGGACTGTTTTCATGTGATAGCAAACTTTATTCAGAGCATCAGACAGTTTATACTCTGAGAGTTAAGAATAGTCACACGAGTAAGGTGTTCACAAGGTCAGGCCACAGGTAGCAAAACATGTTCTTTCCCATAGAGGCATCTAAACAAATAGCAATAGCCAGTTGTAATGAATAATCTAAAATGAACTCATTCCTAGCCTGTGTACCTGGGAGAGGCATGAAAGCACATCCAAGAACAACACATATTATGGAGCAACAGAGATTACAGAGATTAGAAGACTCTTGTTTACTTGGAGTTTTCTCACAGGGTCTCAGAAGTCGTTCATACAGCTTTGTTCATGAACTGTGTTCCTACCACCCATGTTGCTATGCATGGTTTTTGCATCTTACTGGGTGGCATATATAATGTGACTAAAAATCCAGTGAAGGATGAGGTAACCTTAGGAGACAGATATGCTGGGAGGTAGAAAAACTTGCGGTACTGTAGGTTTGTCATAGTGTTCATTTAGTAGGCTCACAGGCAGATTTTATTAGGGAAATTTGTTGTGCTGTGCCAAGAGCTTTCCCTTGTATCTAACTGGATTGCATAACAAACTTGCTTCTTTTTTACAGTTGTATTAGAATGTAATACGGATTTTAACAGGCAGATATTTCAGTCGTGTACTGTTTTCTTGTCTTTTAACAGATTTATGAAGGATTTTATTCTGATATTAAATATAATGTAGCTAATTTGTTAAATAGTTAATTTCTTAACCTTTTTTTTAATGAGTTGCTCTTCTAAAATACTGTCTCTGATTGCTTTTAGGTTACCTAGGGTATGCATAAATACAGACTTGGAAACTCTGAAAGAACTTAGAGTCAGCATTTCGAGGTAACTATATATCTATTAATGTAGTGTTAAGGTCGTCCTAGTCTGATTTATTAACAGCTAGCTAGCAAAAAAAAAGTGTACAAAATGAGGGTTTACCTGCATGATGGTAGTGTAGATGGTATAAGCTAGCGAGCTCAAGCCCAGTGTCATAACTAAGATCAGTGTTTGTTGATTGTGTTAAGGTTTTCATATCAATTCCTCATGCTTCCTTTGTTTTTGAATCATAATGATCATTTAGGAAAGGCATATCCAGATTTAAATTTCTTCCCAACCCTAGCATTGTCAATTCTTGTCTTGAATTGTCTTATATATAAACCAATTTGATAAAAAGTGGATAGAACAGGTTTAACCGTCCTTAGAGCTTGTTTTTAATTTCACTTGTTAAATTGGAGTTGGATTTCATGCACACACTAAAGACTTACTAGAGCTATTTTGATTTCTCAGCCAAGTACCTCTTCTGATGATCTTTATTTGTTTTTTGTAAATGGGAACCTAGGAAGTAAATGCATCATTTTTTTTGTTTCTTTGTAATATGTAAAGCGTAATCTTTAATGTTTGAGTCACATATATTTTGAAATCTTTCCTGGAGTTTGGCGGTAGTTTTTCTCTCAGTAGGTCAGGCTTGCCTTTGTTACCACTCACTCTATTCTTTGCTTTAGAAGAAGTTTTGACATAAGATATCCCAAATGTCTTTTGTTTAAAAGTTGATACAAACTAATGGCGTGTTATTCAGCTCCTCATCTGAGTGGGACTCTGGTGTGTGCCCTCCATTTACAGGAATCTTATTCTTGACTGTTTCTACCTTTGTTTTAGAGCAGAAGCTTGGGCATGCTGTGGTTTTCCAATAAACTCTCACAATGTCAGAATGCAGTTCAGACAGCAGCAACACAGAGGTCGCAGACATTAAAACGGTAAAGCTGGGTTGTTGTCTGTGGAAAGAGGACAAGGGCTTATTTTTGTGTTTTATTACGTTGTTCTTTATGTTCGTTTGGCTTTTGTTCTTGTGGTGTTGGGTATTGAATCAAAGCCTTGCTTTGTATTAGGTAAGTGCCCTGCCCCGCATTATACCCCAGTCTCACTAAATACTGTTAAGTGTATAACCTACCAGAGCTGGCATACAGCTTTCCAGTGTCACATGGGTAGATTATTTGACAAAAAATTTAAAACCTGTAATTGAAAATAGTTACTTGTAGTTAATCTTTTGGTTCTTCCAAAGAAGTTAATGTGATTCATCCATGAGACTCGAACTCTTATATACCATCAGATAGATACTCAGCCTTTCACTTACGGCTAAGTTTTTTAAAAACTCGACTAAAACATGCTAAAGAAAGTAAAAATTGGCAAAATTATAGGTTATTATATGATTAAGTTACCTATTGATGTTTTAATCTTGGGTTTGCTTTCCTTAAATAGAAAGTGTTTTACTGTGGCCAGCCACTGTACATAAAATGAATAAAAATTAATTTAAATATTATGACCTTATGGAAAACATAATTGGAAGGGTTCAATTTCAATCTTCCATCTCCTTGTAAAATCCTATCTTCCACCATCAGGGATGGTAGCAGTTTATTTCCAAACCAATAAAAATACATTGATTTGCCCATGATTGTGTCCTTTACATTGTTGTGTGGCCATTCATGAATCTCTGGCTCATTTCTATACACATACATACACACATATGAAACATGAGAACAGCAGATTTAATATATACAGAAAAATGGAACCCATACCTTGTTCTAAGGGAGCCAATGTTCCAGGAAGAACAGAGTGAGGGAGAGGCTGTGTCTGTGCGTGTATGTAAAATGGTTGTGTTCTAAAAATCAGAGAAAAAAGCTACTTGTGCCACTCAGCTGACTTGGTTTTCTACAGAGTTGCTTAGTTTGTTCATTGTGTCCCAGCTGTGGTTTAGGACAGTGGGACAGAAAGATACATACAGCTCCTGCACTCAAAGTCAGTCTGATCAATTATTTTAAAGCAATAGTAGAGATTTCAAAGCTAAGAATAAAAAGTACCTTAAAGTTTTAGAAGAATACTTCAGTTTATGGCTATTAGCAGTTTCAAGAAGATTTACTGATTGCAGAAAGTTTAAACCATATTCATAAGGATAAATAAGGAGAGAATGGCTAACCTTTAGAAGTCATGGAAGCGTCTAGATGGAGGTCATCCTGGTCTCTCACTGAGTTGTGCTGGACTCTGAATGTTGTACTGTATGAAGATCTTAGCTTGTGATCTGGCCACACAGGCCTGGGACCTGAGGTTTCTAGTCTGATGGCTTTCTTTTTGGTTCGTTCCTGACTTTCCTTTTTTCTTCTCTCCCACCTTTATTTCTATTCTTTTCTCTTTTTCTTTCTTTCTAGATCTTTTATAGTAGAAGCAGTAATGGTGATTTACACTATCATTAGTTCAGAGTTGCATAAAATTCAACTCAACGTTAACTTGAATAGTAAGGGAATTTATTGGCTTATGTTTTTGGCAGAGATGTTTTTATGTTGGGCTTTGAGGTTGATTGATTGAGCTGCTCATTGATGCTACCAGGGACCAAGTTTCTTTGTTGTTGCTATTGGAAGTACATCTTTTTATGGCTGTCAGATGATTTCAGCAGCACACAGGGCTAGCGTTTCTTGTACCATGTTTGAGGGGAAGAGTTGCTTTTCAGTCACTGACTGAAAGGCCCAAACCTTTTGTCATTGGATTAGCATGAACCAGTTCCTAGCCCAAAGAGAGGTATGTGCCATGGGCTGAGGGCTAGGTGACTGGCAGAAAAAAGAAAGTCTGAAACCCAGCCTTGACAACTTTGATGAGCAGATGTTTAAGAATAAACAGTGCTAGGCAGTCTCTTATTTGGGAAAAAAGTACAACGTGGCTAGTGAGTGATAGTCCCAGAATTACCTGTTGTCTCTAACAGAAACAAAGTGCTTACTTGTATTATATTACAATATAATTCTTCAAAAAGGACCCAGCACTATCCCTTGTGAAGTCAGATCTCTGAATGATAACTTTAACTTGAATGTTTGCTGCACCATTGTTCACAACAATCACAGTACTAAAACTGTGCTTGCGTCTGTTAGCAGATGAGAGCACACATTCACACCCATACACAACCCCCCTCCCCAAAGACACTAGGAATATTACGCAGAAAATAAAGAACTGCTGTTGCGAGAATTGGGATAGGATAACAAATACATGTTTTACCCATTTAGTTACTTGTTTTGTTAGTTTGTCTGTATCTGTATGGCTTCTGCTTAGTGACTGTTTGAGACTAATTTCCAGACATGATGCTTTGTCCACAAGTGCTTTAGTGAGTCCTTCCTAAGATTATGGCTGTCCTCTGACATACATGTAGTCAAGTTACCACCTTCAGGGTCTTTTAACACTGTTGTTTTCTGTAGTGTAAAAGACCTCTTCATTAATATTTTTATGTAATTCCTTTATTAATGTGATTAACATTAAAACTTATTCTTAAATGCAGATGTCTGTTTGGTATGTTTATTGTAGTATATTCACAGGAGCTAAAATGTGGAAGCAGCCTAAGTGTCTGTCAACAAGATTGGATACACAGACAGACAGACAGACGTCCCCCCACCCCCAGAATAATAATTGATCATGATAAAGAAGGAAATGTTGACAGTTGTGATAACCTAACTATACAGAGAGACCATTACACTAAGTGCAACAAATCAGGCTTAGAAAGACAAATTCTTGAGGCCCTCTTACGTGGGTCTAGTAAACAGTTCTCTGACAAGGTGAGAGCATAGGTGATGAGTGTAAAGGGTGGGAGAACTGAGGAAATGCTGATTGAAGGGCATTAACATTGCAGTCACGGGGAGTAAGTTCTAGAGCTGTAATAGCCAGTGGGCTACAGTTGGTAATACTGTATGCATTGTATAGTTGAACCTGCTCAGTGTGGTTTCTTAGTGTTCTCACCACACCAGGACACAGGCGCTGTGAATGTGTGGACTAGCTGACTGTGACAGTCAGTTCACTGTGTGTGTTGTCACATTCCTTTAGTATAGCCGGTTTCGTCGTGAAAAGCTGTCAGATCTTCCCTAGGTCAGTTAATATGTTTTGTTGTCTGTCTCTTTCAGTAGTCTTTGCTGTGGCGTATTTTCATAGTTTCTTTTGTATTTTATGATACTGAGTTTTGAAGAATAGTTTCCTTCTTCTTTAAAAAGTGGGAGCACACTTACTTGCTTTGTGGATCATTTTTCTAGATTGTTATTAAAGTTGTTTATCTGAGAAATGTTCTAGACGGGGGAGCTGCTGGTCTCATGTGCAAAGTATTTGGAAGTGAAAAAAGACTGTTGACTGTTTCCTTGTTGCTGTCTTTTCTCCTTCCTCTTAGATTCCTATTCCCTATGACTTAGTTTTGTTGAAACTTTCCACAGTGCCTTGATGTGCTGAGTGAAAAAGTGTGGGGCCAGGCTTAAGGGCAAGGTTCCTAGATCAGCTGTGATTGGGAAGCAGCTATCATGGAGTGGTAGCAGGCCCAGGAAAGTGCTGCCTTAGTTGGTAGGCCTTCAGGGTGGCCTCTTGATCTTTAGAAGCTAGGTGAACTTGACTTCCATGCGAGGTTCTTGAGTCCTGTGTGCTGTGGAATTGGGAACTATGTGTGTCACATGGGGTGCAGGGAATGGATGTTAGACTTTGATTCCAGTAGAAAGTGAGTTATCTCCCATGAGGAATATGGTTTCTTTGATCCAATAATGATGATGGTGGTGGTGATGTGTGTGTGCCGAGTGGTGGTGGTGGTGTGTGTGGGGGAGTGGTAATTGCCTGATAGTTTCTCCAAAAATACTCTCTCACCCCTTTCATGTGTCCTTCCTTTGAAAAGCATATTAAGAATAGTAAGAATGATAATGTTTGTTGGTGTGTGGACAAGCTGTCTTTCCAAGATCCTCAGTGCCTGTGCTGCTTCCTTACAACAGTACCTTGAATAGGCTGTGTACTGAATTATGCCATCTTGATTTCTGAAACATGAGTGCAGTGTTGTAGCTCATGAAAGAGACTGGGAAGTAAAATGTTTGGTTTTCAGAAAACTAAAGAGCTGGATTCTTTTCTGGTGTCAGAGTAATAGTGAACACTACTGCAATTAGTAGAGTAGGGGTAAGAGCATAAGAGGGGTAAATGTTCCAAGTGTAGGATCAGTAAATTCTGCTCATCGAGGGGAGCTAGTGATAGGCTTTCCCCTGGAGTCTTGTCATCCTTGACTTCTGTTTTGGTTGAAACTTTTAGAAAGATTGGCCTGGGGATGGTTAGCCCAGTGGGTATAGTGCTTGCAGTGGGAACATGAGGAGCTGGTTCTTTTGATCCCAAGCACCTGTGTAAAAAGCCAGGTACCATGATTATCTGTAATCTGAACTGGTAGTAGGATGGGTTGTGTGTATGTGGTAGTTACAGGTAGAGATGGACAGATCCTGAGGTATTGGTGACCAGCCAGTTATTAGGATCCTGCAGTCTATGCCAACTAGTTTGAGATTTCTGTCCCTTCATTCCAGTGCTCCAGTGACAAACCAAAATAGAACTCCACCAAAGTCCAACTTGGGGGAAACCTGTGAGTTTATTGTGTTTATTTACAGAGCATCGGTGAGAGGTCACTTAGAGGAGGAGAGTGGGTGACCGCAAAGCAGACACACCACTGGAAATTCCCACCCCAGTATGGATGGTAGCTTCTTATAGCTATATAGATGGGGTCTCCTCTTCTGTTAATTTTTCACTCTAGACCTCCTGAGACCATGAGACCATGCATAATTAGAGCAGGATTCTATACAGATGGCAGGAGGTGTAGGGGCGTGCAGCTGGAAGTATCCACTGACCCTCCTCACCTGCTCCTTCTATGAGGGAAGGCCAGCACTCAGTAAGATCTGCTTTGGGGAAATCACAAGTAGTCACAGCTGTTCTGGTGAGAATGGTGGCCATTATGCTCAGATGACAGTGCTTTATAACACCAGTGTAGCTGATGGTGAGTTCCCGTTTCAGCAAGAGTCCCTGTCTCAAAAAAATGAGTGTGCTGGAGGATGACATCCACTGTTGGCCTGTGGCTGCTACAGTTGCACACACTGGTACACACATAAACACATATGATTTTTAAAAGATCACCTTTTATTTTGCTGGCTTACATAGTGAAAATTACTTCTGGGAAAGAGTATATGGAAATGGGAGAGTGCTTAGATGACAAGGAAGAGAATGTCATGCGTTTAATGTATCAGGGGTATGTATAATTTTAAATATAAATGTCTGAGGATAGTTTTAGCTATGCAGGTGTAGATCGACAGTTAAGCACAACACCCCTTTTAAGAAAACAATGTAACCAGGTCAGGTATTTGCATCTTTAGTGCCTGCCTGTAGGTTGACTCATTATTTTGTCAACATAATGTTAGAGAACTTACAAAGAGATGTTTTTATATGTTTGTACTTCACAATATAATGTGTATATTTACATGCTTATGTGCATGTATATGTTTAACAAGGCATCATATGGTACATGTTGTCTTTTAAGGGTTTATTCTGGGCTTTGCTCTTTGCCAATAAATAGCGATAGAGTTTTTAATACCTTTAGATAGCTAAAGTTACTATGGTTTTCTACTAGTTTAAAGGCTAGTTCTTATTTTCTAGTAATGTAGCAGTACAAATTGATGTGTTTATATTTGTGCAGTTGCCTGGTTTATTCTTTAGATAAACTTCTAGGTATAGGATTGCTAGGTTGTGTATAGACTGCTTGACTTTTAAAACCATCCTCTTAGATCTCAAGAGAGACCAAACCAACCACAGGAAGAACTGGAAAGACTCTCAGGAGTGGTAGTCTGATGTCTCTCTTGTTCCTGTGCTTTCTTTTGTTTTAACCCTGCATGGTTGTGTAATGGTATTCTTTTTCCCTTTTATAGTAAGCTGTGCTAGAACAAAATGCAATGAAAGAAACACTGGATGAATGAAAAGCCCTGCTTTGCAGCCCCTCAGCATGGCAGGCCTGCAGCTCATGACCCCTGCTTCCTCACCAATGGGTCCTTTCTTTGGACTGCCATGGCAACAAGAAGCAATTCATGATAACATTTATACTCCAAGAAAATACCAGGTACTAATGAAATGACTAATACTAGAGCATTTTTCACTAAAGTAGAATAAATTAGTACAGAGTTCACACAACTTATAAAACTCATTTACCCTTTCAAGCCTCCCTCTTCTGATTAATTTTCTTGTTTAAAACATTTTTATTCTTAATTGTTCTTTTCTGTTCTAACATCTGCTGGGTAATTGATTTGTTGTGTTGGTTCTGTTTGCGAGTCCTTCCCCATTCCCCCCAATTCACACTGTTCCTTCATATCCATTTGGATGTATCAGTCCTAATGAGCTGGATAGGAATGGAGATTGTTTTGAAAGTGTTCAGCCCTGAGCTGTAGAAACATACCTAGTGTAGGTTTGGTTATATGTGTTGTTCTAGAAAACTAACATGTGCAGAAATAATTCTTAAATGTAATTGTTAGTGCCATATTAATGTATGTTTATAGCAGCACAGCAGTGTCTTCCCTGTAATTCTTGAGTAAATATGAAGACATTGTTTTCTTTTTGTAAAGTTGTCTGCAGATTTAGATTTTAGAAAACAGAAATTTCTCATTTAAAACAAAAGCCAATTCTTAAATGTGGTGCCTAGTTAAGAAGTGTATGATCTTTTCCCATGTTTCAGGTTGAGCTGCTGGAAGCGGCTCTGGACCATAACACCATTGTCTGCTTGAATACCGGCTCAGGGAAGACGTTCATCGCGGTCCTGCTCACCAAAGAGCTGGCCCATCAGATCAGGGGCGACCTCAACCCACATGCAAAAAGGACCGTGTTCCTCGTCAACTCTGGTAATCAAACATCTTTTACCAAATGTGAGAACAAAATTGGATGAGACTTCATATTTTAACAGACTATCTCTGTGGGTATTAAGTTAAATTTTTGAAAGAGAGTTTGACAAGTAATGAGCTTACTGAAGTCCTGCTAGCCAAAATACCATTTTATTTCTCTGTAGAATTTCCCTGATTTTTCAGACTCTGCAACTCTCTTAATGAGACTTGCTCTGGGGAGATAGCTGGCTAAGTTGTGAAAACTGCTTTCATTCTTGGTATCTTCATAAAGCAGGTTGCTGCAGCACTTTTAGAAACTTGGATCTTCTTTAAAGCTGCTGAGAAAAACTAAGTGTCTGATGTTCATATATGTGGGAATATCAAAGTGAAAGCACAACCTGTGAACCCAAAATGACCTCCCTTTTTGTTTTTTTTAAAGATAATCTCAGCTCTCTTGCCCTTTACCCTTGTGTGTCCTGCACACCTGTCCCTTATCGTGTCCCCCTCCCCCCCATTAAAGTGCACCCACGTGGGAAAAAAAAATAAAGATAATCTCAGCATAATTGTGTGATTTGAACAATACTTCTTGGTGAGTTGATCTGGTTTCATTGAAGCTAGCAGGAGGGATGGATGTAGAGTTGGTGCCCTTCAGCCTGAAAAGAACTTAGGTCTTAGGATGAAGGAAATCAACTGTAAAGGGGGTATGAGGATGTCTGCAGGAAGAGACAGGGCCCATCCTCTGATTTTAGAGGGTGATCTTGGAACCATGATTTTTATATTAGCCATTTAAAAAATTGGTGGCTAAGTATAACTTGATAATTTTGTAACTGTTCAGAAAACCAGTTGGGCACATTGTTCATTTTTACATGTTATCTTTGTGACCAGCAAACCAGGTTGCTCAACAAGTCTCAGCTGTCAGAACCCACTCAGATCTCAAGGTTGGGGAGTATTCAAACCTAGAAGTCAATGCATCTTGGACAAAAGAGAGATGGAGCCAAGAGTTTACTAAGCACCAGGTGAGACCTGCAGGGCGTTTCACGGGATAGATCCTACCAGTTCTTGATTTGATTAGCATTAACCTTCACTATCTGAGGTAGTTTGAAAACGACACTTTCCCAGTACCTTTGTGTTCTCTTACTGTAAGGTTCATCTGAAGCCAGTATGAACAATAAATGATTGAGTGCGTGTCATTCAGAGGGTAGAAAAGAGACAGCTGCCGTTATTTACTTGCTTGAAAAACACAAATACCTGTGACCTAGTTTGAACTTGAAGAAAATGTACTTTTGAGTTACTTTTGAAACTGGAAGTTGCTTGGTTGAGACCTCTGCCTTTGTGTTTCCATGTAGCTAGCATATGCTAAGGGCTTCTTATGTGTGGTGCTAGGAGGTGCACACTTTTGAGGACTGCTTTGTAATATTCAACAGCCTACTAATCACTAGTATGCCTCACATTGAAATGAAGCCAATTATAAAGGCCTGTCCACAGAACAATGGGCTGTACAAAGAATATATAATCTTTCAGAAAGCCCTGTCAGCTCAGTGTAGTTCTTTTGTGATTTGACTAGGTTGCAGGTCTTGTCTTTTAATTATGGTTGGGGAAGCCTGATGTCGATTTAGTAATTTACCATAAGGATGTGGTCTCCCTTTCTAAGGAATTTTCCTCATAATCTTTTCCCATATTTTCATTGTATACATCTTGGTTCCAGTGTTTGTATGTATGTTCTATATATGTAAAATTTTTTTGCTTTAATTTTGACCCATGAATTTCATAATCTTTTCACTTCCATATACTGACTTTGTGGTCTCTGGTAGAGGGATAACCAGGCAAGTTAATGGCATTTGTGTACTGATGTCAGTTTTATTTTAGGTTCTCATTATGACTTGCTATGTCGCCTTGAATGTTTTGAAGAATGGTTACTTGTCACTGTCAGACATTAACCTTCTGGTGTTTGATGAGTGCCATCTTGCAATTCTAGACCACCCCTATCGAGAAATTATGAAGGTACGTTTTTAGATTTTATCAACTTCAACAGTTCATGATCAAATTATTGAGTTTACTAAGCTATCGAGCATTACAGTTTTAAATTTTTAAGATTTTTATTTTATATGTATATGAGTTTGCCTGCATTTATGTCTGTGTACCACATTTGTGTATGGTATGCTCAGAGGCCAGAAGAGGCTGTTGGGTATTTTTGAAACTGGAATTACACATGGTTGTGAGCCAATGTATGAGTGCTGGGAATTGAACCTGGGTCCTCTGAAAGAGCAATCAGTGCTCTTAATTGCTGAGCCATTTCTCCAGCCCTATATACTGTTTTAAAAAAAAAAAAATCAAAGAACAGTGGTATTAGTTGCCAGTATTGGGAACTTGATTCTAGTATACAGATGAATAAATCTTAAAACTAATTTCATTAATCTATAATCTGTAATGTTTTTAACATTGTAATATTAATTGATTTTTTAGAGTATCTAAATATGCCCTTTTGAAAAATAAATCTTTAAACAAACAAACAAAAATGCAATAATTTATAGTATTATGCTGCTGTTTCCACAGAAGTGGATTTTAGTAACTGCCAGTGTTCCTGTGTTTGGATGTGGCGTGTCTCTTGCTGTCCTCTTAGATGAGGAAGTCCTTACTTTCTGTATCTTTTATTATGCCAGCTCTGTGAAAGTTGTCCATCATGCCCTCGAATTTTGGGACTAACAGCTTCAATTTTAAATGGAAAATGTGATCCAGAGGAATTAGAAGAAAAGATTCAGAAACTGGAGAAGATTCTTAAGAGTAATGCCGAGACTGCGACTGACCTTGTGGTCTTAGACAGGTTTGTTTGTGCTTCTCAGTGGCTTGGCTTTCAGTGCAGTTAGTTACCAGCAACCACAAGTGTCCGTCTACCCTTGTTTCTCCAGAGAGCCCCAGATGGGCTGCTGCCACCTTCAGTGATGGTGTTGTGTGGGGTGAGTGTGCTGGCTAGTTTTATGTCAGCTTGACACAGCTATACTTACCTGAGAGAAGGGAACCTCAACTGAAAAAAATGTCTCCAGAAATAAGATTGAGCTGTAAATAGACAAGCCTGTAAGGCATTTTCTTAGTGATCGATGGGGGAGGGTCCAACTCGTTGTGGGAGGTGCCACCCTGAGTGCTAGTAGTCCTGGGCTGTATAAAACAGCCGACTGAACAAGCCAGAGGGTCAGGCGAGTAAGCAGCACCTTTCTGTGGCCTCTGCATTAGCTCCTGCCTCCAGATTCCTGTCCTGACTTCCTTCGACAATGAATTGTGATACAGACATGTAAGCAAAATAAACCCTTCCCCGAGTTGCTTTTGGTCTGATGTTTCCTCACAGCAGTAGTCACCCAGACTAAGTCAGTCAGCCCTTCCTGTTCCCTGGTGTAAACACTGGGGACATTTACCTTCAGTGGAAAGGACACCATCAGTGTGTGCCTTGGTATTCTAGACCTAGACATCTCTCAGGGCACGTTGAAGGATTCTTAGAGAATTCAGCAGTATACTTTAAAATATTTGAGAGTACCCTATTGTTTTGAAGATTTTTTTTTTTTTTTGCAAGTTTCTGACAAAGATGCTGTTTGTGCTTTGTAAGTTGTCTTGGTTGAAGAGTAAACAGTTTTGAGCTTCTGTAACTTAATCAACATGGAAGCAGACACAAGCACACAGCTTGATCCTTATGTTTACCTCTGTAGAAAGGAGCTGTAGCAGTTAGTGAAAACTGCCATTTTGGCAGAATCTAGAATTACCTGGGAGACAAGTCTCTGGCAGATTGTCTTAATTGAGTTAATCAAGGTGGGATGACTCAGCCTAAAAGCATGTGGCACCATCCCCTGGGGCTAGGGTCCTGGAATGAATAAAAAGGGGAAAGTGAGCTGAAACTAGGCACCCAGTGTTTCTTGACTGTGGATATGATGGAACAGCTGCTTTGCTTCAGTTTCTTCCTGTTCTGACTTTCCTGTCATTTTAAACAGTATCCCTAAACTGTACCCCTTCCCCACTTAAGTTCCTTTTGTCAGGGTGCTTTCTAACAGCAGCAGCAAAGACTCAGACAGAAGCCTTATATAAGTTAGTAGGGAAACGGCTTACTGTGAGCAGGAATAAACAGTGAGTATGGATGTGTGTTTGTAAGTAAATACAACATTCAGTTCACATCAGAATAGTCTAATGTTCTTACTGGTAAACTGCTAGTGAATCTTCTGGCCCTTGGAATAGGCTATTACTTCCCTCAGCCAAGCAGCTGTGATGTCCACACACACCATGTGTGTTTGTAGGTTGTCATGATTTGTGAAAGACACACAGTGGATTCAGAGAATGACATCAGAAATGAATGAAAGTGGGCAGTTTACCTTACAAAGATACGTTAATATTGACAGAGTCAGTGGAATGACTCAGCAGATAAAAACCTGCCTGAGTTAAATACATGGGTTCTATCCCTTCCAAGCTCCTGTCCCTTCTGCAAAATGGGTGACATGGCACTGTTCCTCACCGTCACTGTCATGAAGATGGAAGGAAAGAACTGACCTCCTACTCTGCATTGTAGTTCTCACATGCCTGCCACCATCATACAGACACAACATATAAATTAATAAATAAACACTTTACAGTTGAGATTTGCAGGTGTTAAAAAGGATTTCACGTAGGGGACTGGAGGGATGGATCAGCAGTTAAAGAGTGATTGCTGCCCTTCCAGAGAACTCGAGTTGGTTCCCACTGTCCACGTCAGACACAGCCTTGAACATCTGCACTTGTGTATATACCCATTTATAGACACACACATCTTATAATAAAAAATAACTAAATATAAAAAATTTTAGATTATATGTTAAGCTCTACATTTAATGACAAAACATTCCCTGTGCCTTCTGGTCAGCTCTGTTGCTGAAAAATAATTATTGAATATTTTGAACATTTTTGGTTTTTGTTCTGCCTAAGTGGGCTAAAGATTGCAGTCAACTTACAAAACAAAATCAATTCTGTGACATCAATGAAATCTATTCTCATAGTTCTTTGAGCCTTAGCTTTACAATGATGGCTTGCATCTAACTCAGTGAAAAGCCAAGTGCCACTAGGAAGGCATGCTATGAGTCTGTCTTTTTACTTAAGTAGAAACATAAGCTCAAACTAGATAGAGGAGGTAAATGAATCAGAATGTTGTACTGAATTTTTAAAGGATGATGCAAAGGTCGTTTGGGGAAAAGGCAAGGGACTTTTTTTTACCGGAAAGAGCCTTCGAAGGACTGTGGTTGGTTCTGTTTCAGTGGGATTACCTAATATTGCTGACACTCATTTCTTTTTCCAGCCTTCCTGCATTTGGATTAAGACAGAGTAGAGTTCCCACCATACTTGAGATGTAGTAAACATCCAATCTGCATTCTTTTCTTTCCTGTTTCCTTTAGGAAAACCTCTTGTAAATAATATATATATTTTATATTTAAAAAAGCCTGCTTATTTTCTGTGGGGAAATTCAGAAATATGAAAAAAATAATAATTAAGATAAGTACCTAAAATTTTACCATACTGCTAACATTTAGAATATTTTCTTAGTATCTTTTTTCCTTGTTTTTTTTTTTTTTTTTTTTTTTTTTTTTTT